ACACACATACACTTTCACAGATATATGCACACATGTATGGACATATATTGGAACAAACAAAATCTCTATTTAACTCCTCACTTCCTCACTGATTACAATAAATGACCCTCCTGTTGTAGTTTTGCATTCATTCATGCACTGCAGAATACTGTGTGCCTGAGCTGTTTTCTTTCATGTTTCCCCCACCCACATGCACAAAAACACAGACACACTCACACATCCACATTTCTCTCCCTCACACATGCACACAAGATTCGTCATTATAATCTGTGCCTCGCTCTGCTCTCCTTCACTCTTTCTATCCAGTTAAAGAAAAAGACGCTGGAGGTAACAGTGTGGGACTATGACAGATCCTCCTCCAATGACTTTCTTGGAGAAGTGAGTGCTTTTGGAATCTCATGTATGAAAATGTTAAATGCATGTAGTATTTACACAAAAGGTTTCTCCTGCTTTATTCTTTTGAATGCATTGCAATTATTTGGCAAATAAATACATTTTTATTCTTATTCTTTAGCAAATTCTTAAATACCTTCATAGAAATTATTCTCCTTGTTCCCCTTCTACCATTGAGTCTTTTTCTTAGAGTCTCTTTTTGTAACTCTCAATGTCACTGTGTGTGTCTCAGGTGTTGATTGACTTGTCGAACACTGCCCAGCTAGACAACACTCCTCGCTGGCTGCCTCTGAAGGAGCAGAGTGAGAGCATTGAGCACAGCAGAGCCCACCATGCTGCTCAAGGCCCACCAGGGTCTGGCTCAGGTCAGGGTCATGGTCAGGGACACAGCCAAGGCTATATGTCAGTGCCTGGGATGGGGCTGGGGCATGGAATGGGACAGGGTCAAGCACCAGGACAGGGAGATGGGAGTCATGATTCACCTAAAAACTCTGTAATCAAGAGCAGAAGCCACGGAATCTTCCCTGATCCAGCCAAAGGTAAAATAATCCACTCATTCTCAATTTCCAATCAGTTTATTCTATAGGACTGATTATTCTGAATTATAACTGATATTATTATCCTTACCAGATTTCCGTTTGAGACAAAAAGTGTAATGTATAACATGTTCACTCAGTTGTCATAGCAATGGGTTGTTACCATAGAAACAGAATTGCTAATTATTTCTTGACAGCTGTAATTACACTCTGTGTGCTTGTCAACTGCTACATGGCACAATCAGGTCCTCTGTGGCTTTTTTTTAAATTTACATCTCCTTTCTGTTGTCCCATCAGCAGTCATGACCTATTTCATCCTTCCGCAGACATGCAGATGATGCCTTTGGAAAAGTCACACAGCAGCCCAGGCAGTTCGAAGTCTTCCTCTGATGGCCAACTGCGCTCCCATGGCCCCTCCCGAAGCCAAAGCAAGAGCAGCGTCACTCAGGCCCACCTTGAGGACGCAGGAATAGCCATTGCTGCCGCCGAGGCTGCTGTGCAACAATCCCGCCTGCAACCAAGTAAATCCCGCCCCTACCCATGATACTTTTCCTGTGACATGCTTCCTTTTTCCTGCGCATGCAAGCTTTGTTGAGATCATTTGATGAAAACCTGAACCACTATACATTCACCTCCTTAACATTTTACCTTTGCCTTCTGCTCTCTTCATCTTACTTTTTCTCTGAGCGTGATTTGTTTTGATCAATAATCTTAGTTTAATTTTTGCCTTCTCCAAGTTAGACAAATCTATCTAATATAGTCACTAAAAAAAAATCCAAGGCTGGAAAAGAGCTGTGATATATCAAAACCTAAACTTGCTGTAAAATCTTATTTTATTCAGTCTTTAAATCTAAAATTAAATATTTATAAATCTTGCATGTTCAGTGTGCTAAATATTCCAAATACTGTATTTGACATTTTCCATCTGTTTATCGTTTTTGCTGCCTATTTGGGTATATTAAGTAGGATATAAAGTTGATAAATTACTGTGAGTTATTAACATAGCAGAACAATTTACCTACTTATAACAAAAAAGGAAAATATATATTTCTTTCACCCCAAAATAAGATCCCCAGACCCCACTGTTTCTACACGAGTTGTGCATGTGCCAATCCCAAGCATATGGTTTCTACAGAATCCCAGTGTGGAGAGCTCCAACCCCAGTATAGAAACCAAACTGGGATGGCAATCCCTCACATATTTTGTACCATATTAACATTATTTAAACAATATCCATTCATGTTTATGCGCAATCTTTAGTGTGATGTCCTCAAATTCAAAAACAATTTTGTCATCCCTTTCTAAGATAAGTTAGCCCAGTGTCAGAGCTATTTAAGCATGCAGTTGCAGCTCCCTGGCTACTGTTCCCTGGCCACAGAGGACTTTGTGATGCTGCAGTCTCTGTCTCTCTCTGTGCATGTGTGTGCCATATGAATGAACCCTTAGTCACAAAACGCACACACAGACACACACAGTTATGGCACACAGTCTCCCCTCCCTACCCAATCCTTTCCCAAACCCACTGCCTAAACAAAGGGAGACAAATGTGAGACTGAACCAGTCAAACCAGGAAACACAGACACACCAAGAGGTTCAAAAGTCAACAGGAGGCTCACTCTGCACTCACCGGCCAATGAGAGTAAAGCGGTCAGCTAACCATGAGGGGAACAGATGTGTCAAGGGAAGGTGAGGCAACATAGGAAAAATGTACTGATAAATATTAATCATATCTTATTACCCCCTATTACTAAATACACTAAAACTAAAAACTAAAAAATAGATAAAGAAAATTAAGTCTAACCAAATGTGTAAATAATTGAAGTAACAAATTAATAATCATTTAATGATTTTCATGTATATGAGTCTGTGAGTGTCTGTTTCTGTCTGTTTTTATGTGTTTTTTTGTTATTGATGTAATTATGTTTTTGTGGATGTAGAAACAGAATTCCCAGCTATTGCCTTTGATTCACAGATTGTGTTTCAAACATAATCTTACTTACCACTGGAAAGTGGACACTGTGACCAAGAAGGCAAAGAATGTATCCTCCCTTAGTCTAGACAGAACCACTTCATATATTCCCTGAACTAATCACTCACTTTCATACTGTATGAGCATAACTCCACAGCAGCCAGGAGTCAAAAACAAATGATTAAATCTATGAAAGAACATCCATATTGTTTAGCACTAAATGTATTTTCATGTGTGGATTCAATTTAGTGACCTTTATTTATAGTCAAGGCCTCAATGAGTTAACTGAGGTTACATACTGCACTGCTAAATGCAAGGACAGGGTGTCATCTACATTAGTTTGTTCCTCCTCTGATATGCTGTCATGTAATGCTCAGTCAAAGTTATGTGTGACAGACAGCGTCACTGTCAGTGAGTGATAGCTGGGGGTGTGAAGTGTTTCACCATATCTGTTGGACATGCATGCATGTGTGGTAAAAGCTGAGTCAGTGAATATGCTCTGTTTGTTGCTGTGTAGATAGACAGACAGACAGACA